ACATCTCAAAAAAGCTGTTTCTGAATATGGAGAACATAAGCTCTTTAATTTAACAGTGAAATGGAACTTTGACTTTTTCTTTTTTCATTTACTCCTCACTTTTTCATTTTTTTTGTTTGAATATTTTGGCGGTGATTTCATCTTTCTCCATAATTGTGTCCTTTGGACAGGCTTTGTGTGTTGGAAAAAGTTTGCTAAATGGTAGTACTTTCTGGATTTTAGGTGGAATTTGTTTTCTTCTGCATATTTAAAAGCTACACACGTGCAATGTATAGTAATTTCAACATGTCTTGTTTAATACTATCTCAGTTAGTTTTCTTGTCATTTTTCCTAAGAACCTAATAGTAGGTATTTTGTCAAAATTATAATTTCATTAATTTCCTATCGTGTTAAGAGAATGGTAGCCTTGGAGCAACAGTAAAGTTATTACCGTATGATATATACGTCACGAGTTCGAGCCATGAAAGCAACAACTAATGCTTGCATTAGGTTAGGCTATATACATCACACCCCTTAGGGTGCGGGCTTTCACCGGACCCTGCGTGAACGCGGGTACCGGGCTGCCTTTTTTTTTGCCTATCATGTTTAGTTCGACCACTCTCAAGCATACAAAATGTATTAGGTTTCAATGGATTATTTCGTCGAATATGCATCTGTTTTACTGAGCAGAAAATTATGCATCTACTTGTAACAGATGGGAATGGTGAGGCTCATAAATGGCACATCATATGTAGGATCTCCATTGGCATTGCTCAAGGACTAGACTATCTTCACACAGATTTGGAAATTCCCATAATCCATGGAAACCTCAAGTCGAGTAACATACTTTTGGATCGTCACTTCAGACCATATGTGTCCGATTTTGGCTTGCATCTTGTCTTGAATCCAACTGCAGGCCAAGAAATGCTTGAAGCATCAGCAGCTCAAGGGTACAAAGCCCCTGAATTGATCAAGATGAAAGAAGTTAGCGAAGAAACTGATATTTACAGCCTTGGGATTATCTTGTTAGAGTTACTTACAGGGAAAGAACCATTCTACAGGAAAGCAAATCTTGATAAGGATATTTATTTGCCTAATGCCGTTCAGAGTGCAATTCTTGATCATAGAGTTATGGACTTTTATCATCCGAAGATTCTACTTAGCCAAAATGATGAACAAAGGACAGTTAGTGAAGATCATATATATGAATTCCTTCAGCTTGCAATGGCTTGTTGTTCTCCTTCACCTGCTCTTAGGCCTACTATAAAACAGGTCGTTAGCAAGCTTGAAGAAATTGGAAGGTGAAAAGAACAATCGTTTCTGCGAGGCAGGACCTGTTTTATAGAATTGACTTGATCCAATTGATCGATATGGCGCTGATATAACAGACTGACTTGTGAGAAAATTGCTTTCTGGGAATATATCTTAATTCCCTATGTACAATCATAGCAAGAAAATTTAGTGAAGCTTATATCAATTGGCAAGAATTATGAAGATGGTGTAGAGTTATTCGGAAAATGGTCATAACTTTTAACCTCAAGAATCAGAGACAAGTTTCTGGATCCTGAAGATTAGCTTCCAGTATCATCCTCAAGATTCACTGTTGTCATTTAACAAGGGGATTAAGGTACTACATTGTGATATGACCAAGATATTTGTAAAATGTAGTTGAAACTTTAGAGAGTGACGTTTTAGTCTCAATTTCAGAGAAATCTGGTGACAGTTGAAGCTCCAAAGGATCCACAAGACATGTTCACCACCAACCGGGTACATGTACCACGATGTTTTGACAAAATGTTGTGATTTTTTTGCTTAAACATAAGAAAAGACAGTGTTTCAGCTACAAGACAAAGAAGAGCCATTTCCCATCATTGAAATTATTGAACGCCAGTTTTGTCATTGTTCGGAAAGTCTAACACCATAAAGATTTACAAGCTTACTGTATAGATTTGTTTACTGTATTCTCCTTTCTCTTACGTCTGCATTATATCAAGCTGTTCCCTCTCCTCTCTGCACGTGTACGTACAAATGAATTTTTTTAGTCCATTCTAAAAAGAATAATTAATTTCTAAAATTAAATACAATTTAACTTCAAATTTATTTTACTGTTAGTGTGATGATATATAACCACATAAATTTTTATATTTTGTTTTAAATTTTTAACGGTTTTTCTTTTTTTCTTTTTTAAACTTTGTATCCTGTCAAATATGATCGCATAAATTGAAACAGATAACTTGTTTTCATCTGCATAGTCGTTGATGGCAGAGAACACTATTGTCATAAAAATTTAAAAAGATAAGGACATCTCATGTAAAGGTTAGGTGGAGCTTGTTTGGTGGTTTGTGATGGAGAAACATTTTGATTGAATTGGTGAGTGTATAATACCAATTCCAAATCTCAAGTTTCTTATAATGCTGTTTGTCTTCATATTAAAATGAGTCATTCATTAAGCACTTTGCACGCAGTCTTGCCTTTTGTGATCCTTTATCTCACCCAACACGCCCAATGGAAAGTGCATGCTTAATGCCCAAAGGAAAGAATAAAGGGAATTAAACTTTCTCCTTTATTATACTATGGAATTATTATACTATGGAATTATATGGTTCCACTTCTAAAATACTTAAATTATTATAATAGAGAAGAACTGTATATTAATTACTTCTTGAAGAAGGATTTTACTATATAATGGCAAAAAAGCACACTCAATGTAAACCCCACCATTCACCTGGCCATATTGCTGTTTTTCATGAACTTGTCTATATATTTATTATTTTATTCATTAATATATATTTATTATTTTATTCATTAATATATGAAAAGCTTAGATAAATTGTGCATGGTAATCTACTTACTTTAAAGATAGTGGTGATCTGGTTTTCCGAAAAAGGGCCACTAATGAAGTGAAGAAATATATATATTATCCAATGTTTTTTTTTTTTTTTTTTTTTTTTTTTGGTAAGAGGGAAACCCGGAGCCGCTACAATCTCTGTCACAGCCTCTGCCTTTCGGGTGAGCACTCTGTGGTGAGCACTTTGTGCGCACTGGGTAAACCCCCCCTGTGTAATAGCCTGCAAACCAAACAAGGGATGTAAACCACACTAGGCAAGCCCTGTGCGACAGGCTCAACCCAAAAGGTATTGAGGGGGGATTCGATCCCAGGTCATCCATATGGATGTCCACTCTTCAAACCAACTGGGCAACCCCGAAGAAAATGAATACAGGTTTTTGTTAGATAAAGAAAGAAAGGACAAAAATTGAGATCGAAAAGAGAATTTTGTTACAAAGAATTACAAGAAAATACGCGTGACTTCACACCATAACAAACAATGACCCATATTTTTAAGTTTTACCCGATCTAACCCATATTGTACATATTTTGGAAGCACTAGCAAATTCAAAATCTGTGTTCTTACAACCATTGCTTCTAAAAATTATGGAGTTAAATCTATGTTCTCACAACCATTGATTTCACTCTCTCTTCTTCTCACATCTTATACATATGCTTCAAGGGGTCGTGTATTTTCTGCCCCCTGTGTCACCCTCACCCTGGTTGCAATGTAAGAAAATTGAAGAATAGAAGTCCACCATTGAAGGCCATTCAAAGCCTTGCTATCGAAAATATGATTTTTTGAGTTTTTAGTTGTTTGGATTGGGTGTTATTCCAATTGATTGAAAATATCAAAAGGAGTTCAAAATTTGAATTTGAAGTGATTTGGAGTAGATTTGAGCAAGATTTGAGTTAAATTTAGAAAAGGCGCAACGAAGAAGACGAAGTCAGTTTTTTGTATAATTATGGATAATCTTGTATAATATTATATATGAGTGTATAAACACATCTTATACACCTTTATATAAACGTTTGTAGACGAACTTCTTTCACGATTTTCAGTTACAATTCTTGTTCAAAACCAGTCCAAATCTCCATTAAATGACTTCAAATTTTATATACAACCACCTTATACTATTTCTAACAAGTCAAAATAACACCCACTCAAAATTTCTCACAAAATCAAATTCGGAATTTAAACTCACATATTTAAGCTTGTTAAAAATTTAATTTTCACCACCCAAATGAATTTGGTTTGTTGAACTAATATTTGAGTCACAGTTACTGATTCCAAAATTAACTTAAAAGTTTGAGCAATCTTTTTTAAAAATTAAATATAATTTCGAGTTGGTTGTAAATTAAAATGTGGGCTATAAAATTAAAAAGTAGGGAGCCCAATTGTTCTTATGTGAAATTTTTAGGTAACATAAACTCGAATTAGTCGGGGCTAATATGTAGGTATCGAGCATTAGGTGAGAAATCAAAAATCAAAATAAATAATCTTCCTACTGCTCATTTTGGCACATATCATATTCTTCCTATTGCCTCTTCAAGTATGTTACTAAACATGATAAAATGATATAACAGCATTTTGCATTTGTCTTTTAAATATAAAAAAGAAACGAGATTATAAGATATGAATTTATCTTATAAGTCCCACTTGTTATGCAGAATATGGAAACCTAAAGACTTGAAAAAAGCACTTAGTATGCAATATATGATATCCTAAAAACTTCAAATGCACTTTTCTTTTTCCCATAGTTAAAAAAGGTACAAGAATGTAAAGTTATGACTGTCTTTTGAGTTCCACTTGGTATGCCAAATATGAGAAACCTAAAAACATGAATAGTGTGCAAAATATGATAACATAAAAATTTTCAAATATTTTTTTCTTATTTCCAATAGGAAAGGAACAAGAATGATAGGATGGTTCAAATGCAGTGGCAGGTGCAGCTCCTGGTCAACGGGTTCATCCAAACCTAATATTTTTGATGCGGATTATAGATATATGCATGAAAACCTACCAAATTTCAACAAATATTAAATTTGAATCCATAATTTTAAAAGTAAAATGAATTTAATTTTAACAACCTTAAAGACCGAACTCATCAAGTTTAAATCCCCGATATGCCTAAGCTGAAATGAGAATTTTATGAATTCTGAAGTTTAATCCAAAAATTGCCAACTTCACAAGGAGATGCAAACACTATGTTTAATATTAAGGAGGTCTTAACATGACCATTGCAACTTCACTGATGCATACACAAGTTCAAGACTGATGCATGTTATAACATACTTGTCATATGCAACTTATTTCCTTCTCCTTGCACTACTCTTTTCTTTCCTTCTCACATATTTCTATCACTCTAACATGACTATACTCTTGGACTGTTTACTCAATCTCACACTTATCACTTACTAAGAAACATCGAAATCTAATGGCTGATTGATTGTGTAAAGCCATTAAGGCACATATATTTGATAAGCTATGTTAAACTAGACTATAAATCTAAAAAAGATCTATCTAAACAATCTAAATATTTCCATCCTTTCTTGATTTCCAGTCCAGAATTGCAGAAAGCAGTGCATAATTTGGTAGAAGGTTCTTATGAGGTAACGGTAGGTTTGTCATAGGTGATATATCGTTCTCCTTTAGCCATGTTTCTATCGCCTTCCTGTCATAAGTATACCCATCAGCTGCCACACAAGGTTCCTCCATTACATCCTGTGACAAAAGAACCTATTGCAAATTAGAAATGAAGATGAAAAACTTAGTAGAACATAACAAATGAATCTTTGGTACTACGTGTGCCACATATTATCACATTGTCAAAAGTTACAGGAAGTAAAGAAGGCACACCTTGAGTAAAGGGCACAAGTAGTAGGTAGGGGGAGGAGGCCGGGTAGTGGAGGCAGAATCTCGAGCCTTATCAGCAACCACTTTCAATCTCTTCAACGCAGGGAGAATTTCGTCTTTCAAATCGGGCCTGTCTCTTCGAGAGATCTCTGTGCATTTAAGTGCTAGCGCTGCTAGTTTCTTTGTCTCTTCTAATGGCCATTCACCAGCCTTTGAATCTAGTACCTTAGTTAGACTATCCTTATCGATTGCTGTTTCAACAATGTGGGGAAGTCCCATTGCTGCTTTTGCTGTTAACAACTGCAAGAGAACCATCCCAAATGCATAAACGTCAGATTTTGGAGAGATCATTCCGGTCCTTTGGTACTCAGGGTCGATGTAGCAAAGTGTTCCCACAGGACCTGTATCTCTGTAAATGGTGGATAATGCAGCTTCTGAATTTATCATGGTTGACAGGCCAACATCGCCAATTTTACTAACAAAATTACGATCAAGCAATATGTTAGCTGGCTTTAGATCACGATGAATAATTGGATCTGGCTTGGAGTTGTGAAGAAAGGCGAGCGCAGAGGCCACTTCCCATGCAATTCGATATCTATCAAACCATGGAATTGGAGGTGTATCATGTTTCCTGAACAGCCTCTCCTCTAAGCTACCATTTTCCATGAACTCATACACTAAGCAACCACGATCAGGGCACACGCCAAGAAGGATTAACAAGTGTTGATGACGAATTTTGCTCAATATTTTCAGCTGAAAAATACAAAAGAGCAGATTCTAAGAATCCTTAAACAGTGGGGGCTAACTCAATTTAGTCATTCTCTCATTCATTAACTTGCCATACCTCTTGCTGAAACTGCTTCGTCAGGTCAGATCCCTTGGAGTGAAGAACTTTGACGGCGACTGTAGTATGACGCAAGCTGCACTTATAAACGGTTCCATATCCGCCCATACCAATTTTAAGATTTTCAGCAAATGAAGAGGTGGAAGATACGATTTCTTCCCAAGTAAATTCCTGGTACTGATGTGCCTGATCTGTCAAGGCATTTTCAAGCTTGTCTTTTTCTTTTGCCTCACGTAAGGCTAATAGTTCTGCTTCTTTTCTTTGTGCAGCCTCTCTTTCAGCACAGTCCTTCACATAATCAGCTTCTCTTTTTGCAGCTTCGTACTCCTCATTCTCTTTTCGTACCAAATCTTTTGCTTCTTCCTCCTTTAAACTAATTTCCCGGAGTTTAATTTCTTCCTCCAACCGGCGGTTTTGAAGCTCATTCATCTGTTTGTGGGCAGGTTTATAATCACAGTACAATATGAATAAGATATAAGTGGATGAACATTTAAAAGTCATTGTTTCCTAAACGTACCTTCCTAGAAGCATCAAGCACTTCAGTTTGTGCAACTGCATACATTCCTTGAGTATGTCTTAGTTCAGTTCTTAGCTTCTCTAGCTCAAAATTGATATCCGCCTGCAGTAAAGAGGGATCACCATTAATTTTGGTGGCAGTCTTCTACGTTCTTGCCACTATTTACCAAACGTTTATCAATCTAATTATGCAGAGGAAGTGAGTTGACCAGCTCTGAGCATAAACATGTAACTGTTTAATCAATGCCAATGAGTAATGAATATAACAAACTGCGGCAGAACGTACCTCATTTCTCAATGATAAATCTGTTGGAGCCCCTGAGGTGGAAGCTTGATCATCTGCCGTTGAATAAAACTCTGTTACTAAGCTCCTAAAACTAGAAGTAAGGTTATTCCTTTCACTAAGAAATGATCTCTGGGGACAATAACTGACATCGTCCTCGCTGTCTCCAAAATCAAGAGAATAGTTCTTATGGTGAACGGTTTCATTTGAGATTGCTCTTCTATTAGGAAAGTTCTGATTAATATTTGAAAGAGCTTGAAATCTTTGCATTGGCAGTGAAGGAGAACGGAATTGACTGTACGAAGAACTTGAGTCCAGGTCTGACTTTTCTGAAATGCAGAACACAGACAAATTGTTCAGTTCAGTACTTGGCTCTCTAGAAAATGGAATTCCTTGTTAGAAAATAACTAACAAAAACAATAAATCAACAGACAAGGCGTAACAGTTAATATTTAAAAAAGATGGACTTTGAATCTGGAAAACCAATTTGAGGCCCGCTATGAAGGCGCTATCTTCATAGTAGACTTCCATTGCTACCTTGAAGCGAATAGCAAAGTCTAAGATACATTGAACTACTCAAGAATCTTCTTATGTGAGCTCAAATATAAGATACAAGATTTTTAAATATCTCAAGTACTTTTGAAGGAAGAAATGGAACATCCAGACACTGACAGTACTAACCAATATCTTCCCCATCTAATTCCTGGTGCTCCAGAAGCAAAAGGGACAAGAAATGGAGCTAATGAACTAGATAAGAATTAATTTATACCTGTTAGTAAACTGGAAGAAAGGCCTGTTGAACTGCTGATTGAGAAGTTTGTGTTACTATCTTCAGTCCAACTGCTTGCATTTATCTCTGAATTAGAAGGACGTATAGATAACAACTTTCCTCTTGAAACAGCATAGATTGTACAAAAGCTTGGAATACTGTCTGAGATTCTTGAGGATAAGCTTTGTCCCCTACACATCAGATAAAGAGTTTAAACTTACTGCAGGAAATGGCATTGATGCTAGAAAGTACCCTCTCCCAAGGAGCCAAGCCAGTGAAGAGGTGAAGGAAAAAAACCTCGAGGAAGTAGAGATTTCCAAAAATTGATTAAGAACTTCACCTATATCAATTTTAATCCACTAAACTATTTACTGAACAAGAGAAAAAAGCATCCCCTCATCCCCATAGTTGTCAAAGTTTGTGTTTACATCCCATTTATAACCGTCTCATTTCCCTTCAAAAAGCCACGTAAAACGACCAAAGCACCATTCCTCCTGAGTATAGGAAAACCTATGCCTTAAATTACTTGTAACTTCTTGTTGCTTCTTCAATCTAGCTTGGGGCATGAACAACTGAAGCTTCTTTTTTACTTTCATACTAATGCGTCTAGTATAATTATATGAATAACTTTATGATATCTTACTTTACCTGGTTATAGTTGAATCTGGATAATATGGACTTCTCGCAATGTTCTTTTATTCTTACGTGGTCCTAATTAACTATTTCAATTGTATAGAATTTTTTCCACATGCGAAGAAGGCTACTTGGGGCATTTTGCATGAGATTTGCATAAAAGTGAAACAACTATATATGATTTAAGGCAGGAGATAAAATGCCAGGTTTATTTCAGAGATGATATCTCACAGTTCATTGGAAGAGAATTCATGTTAATGCCCCTTATTTCATAATCGATGTTTCTGTTGATATTACAAGTCAAGGAGCACAAGGATCTTATGAAACTGTCACGTATGTGTAACAAATAAAGTTTTTCATCCATATTTGGGTGCCATCCCTCTCTGCTGCATTTTGTCTTCTAAGATACTTTCGGATTGTTGCATTTCGTATATGTCACTACTTAGCGCTGTCACAAACATCCTACAACTATTATGACATGACTATTAAAATTCACAATTGTGATTGGCAATGAGGAATACATAATTTAAGTTAAGGCAAACATATACCTTAAAAATAACTAAAATAAAATAAAGAGATTGCCATCTGGAGTGTCATCAACGGGCAGTAGCTCATAATTAAAATTTGAAACGGCATAAATCTTGTATTACCTAGAAAAGATGCTACGAGATGAAGCACCTATGACAAGCTTGGTGATGTTAAGCTTGGAGACTTCCTCCGCTATTGCTTTCGCGATATCATCTGATTCGAGTTGTAAAACTTCTACTAGGACCTGCATGTTAAATGATCAGCGATTTAACCTTAGAAGATTTTCCACTTTTCTGATGTCTATTTACCTTTCGTTTAGTGCATAACATCTTGTAAGGATGCAGCTTTTCACTTGTTTGCCATTCGACATCCTTTCGGAAAGCAGCCACTACATCATCCCGCACTTGTGAAATAGGTATAGAGTTTCCCACTGAAGAAACGATAAATAAAAAATTCATAACCATAGCATATCATATACCGAAAAGTTTTTGTTTACAGATTTTTGAATTAATGTGACATCCTATATGAGAAAGAAGCTTTAGTTAAGTTAAGGCATTTAAAGGACTCATGTAACATACTAATTACTATATGAGAAAGAGGAAGGTGTTCTTGGAGAAGGATTGAAAGCATATGGCTCATATTGCCACCAAGTCAGAGTGCGTGTAGACAAGAAAGGTTACATGGCCGGCTCCAGCAAGAAAAGGCCTAAAGACCCCAACCATCCAAAAAGAGAAAGTACAGCCCAGGATTCAGAAGAACAAGTACAAAAGGATGCAACCGGCAATTTTGTTCCTATTCTTCCTTTTTCCTTTCGGTTAGGGTGGAGGTTTGTCTGAACTACAAAAACTGAAGTGATCTTCCTTCTCTAAACTACAGCTTCAGATATTTAAAGAACATAACACCTCAGTTGCAAGATCAACTGTCATCACGGACAAAGATTCTAAAGCACTAGACCTAAAAGAATGTGAATCAACTATCATTATTGACAAAGAATCTAAAGCACTGGACTTAAAAGAATGTTCTATACTCTGGCCTAACTACCATTCTAGGAGCTCATCAATTTCCTTAAGTATATAATCATCTTAACAAAGATTAAACATGAATTACTGGCCTATAGAAGTCCACTGCACCGATAAATTGCTAGAAAAAGGCATATGCTAACGAGTTGTCGTACACCAGAAAGCTTTGGAGATATCAATATTTGAGATAATACATTGAAGAGAAACAACTTACTTGGGGTTGGCACACCAGTTATGCACGGCCGGACATGTAACAGCTTGAAGCAAACCTTTCCTTCAGGAACAAATTTGTTCAATGCCCAGCTCACTACATATTTGCTTTTTCTCTTACCATTAATAGCTACTGCAATTGTGGAAGAGTTTAATGGATTCAAAGCACTTAGGCCTTCCACTTTAGTTACTACTCCACCTTTTTCTTCCATCACTCAACCGCTCTTATAGTCAAGGCTCTATCACACAAAGAGAAACTGTTTAGCTCATAGGTATGTTGTATACCAATTTGATAGCTAGTAAACATGAAAAATCTTAATTATGAGTACTTTTTTCACCCCAACAAATATATATTTAAGGCACAAAAAATCTGTTAACCTTTGCAATCAAGACAAACTGGCACAGATAAATTAACAAGAAAAACACATTACATCAAACAATTCCATGACTGTTAAACAAATCTTTAAATTATCTGAATATCATTTGCGGTCATCATGTTTTAACTCAATCCCCACATAAACATTTCTTGAAAATGCCTAAGAAATTTTTATAAAGAAAACCAGAAAGACCAAGAATTGAGAAACTTTGAGAGAAAAGTCAACCTACCAATTCTTGGAAACTTCAGAGGCAGAAATCCTTAAAACCCATGTGAAGAAGAATAGAGACATAAGACAAGGACAATAGGAACATAGTTTTTGTCTCTCAAAGGAACCTCCTTAAACTATGAAAATGAAGGATATTTGGTTTTAACATTAAATACTATTCTAGTAGTATAAATATAAGGTATGAAAATTTCCTAGAAGGCATGAAGATGACATAAGATGACCCACTACCCAAGCATGACTCAGACTGACTTGTTGAGATTCTGACTAAAAAACATGCCGTAAATCCATTTGCTTATATCAGATAATTACATTTTTGTAGAATGACTTTTCAGTTCAGTCAATTGTAGATTAATCCAATTATTGTTTCCAACTCTTTTATTATTGGATAGTTCCACTATAGTAAAGGAATTATTTGGCATATTCTCTTCTGTCTATTCTGCTCTTTTCTTGTCCACAATTACAAAGTAAGTAGTAGTCTTTTTGGCTTCTTTCAACCAGATTTTAGGTCAATATGATACTACTAATTTCCAAAACTAACTTTCTTACATTAAGGTCCCATTTGTCCGTCAATTTTTTCACAAAATTGTATTTGTCCATGAAATTTTACAAGTTTTTGAAAAAATTCGAAAATAAGTTTTTCAAAATTTCCTTTTTCTACTCATAAAACTGCAACATTTTTTCAGTGAAATGCATATCTAAACATAATTTCAAATTTTAAATACTAATATTTTTCAACTTAAATTCAAATACTATTTTTTTCTTCAAAAATTACAATTTTTACGTCCAAACACGCCTACTAAATGTCCACATCATTTGGTTTATTTATGAAAGGATTTAAATTAGTATTCACTGCAAAATTTACTGCATTACCAAACTAGCACTTGAAAGATGGAACGTAATAACTTAACGTGGTATTACGATCTTTTACCCCCAAATTAATTAGTTTGGTTTGGTAGTTGTTGACCTTCTCCGTCATTGCCACGAATCAATCATATGATATCCCATTTTCCCACTTCTTTCTTACGCAAACATAACAATATAACGTTGAAAATTGGTGCTTTTGGTCCCTCTTAATTTACCAAAATTATATCCTGCAGTATGTTCTTAGAATTAATTCGCTTAACTACTCACTTAAAAAATCAGAATATTAATTCGCTCTGTGTATCTTTTTGTTTTTTGAATCACTTTGTACCTGAATAACTATATAATCATTACGTTGTTACTGGGTTTTCGGGAACCCAGTAATTTTTGCTTATGTTTTTATTAAGAAATCTACTAAATATTTATAAATATCTTGTGAACTCAATTATTATTATATATTAATTTGAAATTACGGTAGAAATTCATAAACTTCAAATCCTGAATCCGGCTCTATCAACGTTATATGTTTAGGAGTAATGAGGTGCTGATGATATGCATATCTACCTATTCAATTATTGGTCAAACAAATAATTTTTTCTTTTTCCAAGAATTTTAAAACAGAGGATATTTCTGTGTTTCATCCTTGCATATTTTCTTCTCATTTTTTATTCTTTTTCTTTTTAGTGATAGGGTGAGACATAGTTTCTTGTGAAATCAGAGTGAGATAACGTAATTGTCTAGAACATATCATTGAGTAAAATATCAGTAGTTCATTCTCCTTTTAGTATGAGTAGTTCCCGCTTTTTTGTGTCATTTTAAAGTAATTATTTTCAAGATATACATATAAAAGATTCTACCGAAGCTTACGGGATCCGGTAACCCGACTACCGCACATAGGTCTGCATCTGGACTTGATTGTTCTATGGGAAGCAAAGGAACAGTGAGTCAATGCAAGCTGGAATTGATAGATGAGAGGAGGCAAAGTTGAACTTTCAAAACCCTATCATTTAAAAGCAACACTGTATCTTTTTGTATCTTCTAAAGGACGTATGACCACACAGTTCATGGTCATGACTAATGACCGGCAAGTGACCTTTTCTAATAAAGAGAAGAGTGATTAACTTAGTACTATTTCTTTTACTTCAGTTTCAGAGAGTAGTTGTTAAATTATAAAACTGTTTTTTGTTTTTCTTTTTATAACTATGTAAAGGGTAATTTGGAAATTATTGCTTATCGATCTTCACTCCCAGTCGTTATGTTTCCCTTAGTTCGGCGTTGACTTGTTTGGCACAATTTTGTTTCCTTCCTAAAGACCAAGGAGGGTGACATTTTACGTGGTTACACTAATAAATATGTGTACAAATTTATAAATGAACATCAACTAAATTGTGGTAATTAAACTAGGCACAAGAAGAGACAGTGAGCCTTGGCAACTACGTATGTTCGAAAACTCAAAATAGACAAATTAATGCTCTTATCATTTTCTTCACATTGAGAGCGACTTACACCACTGATCTCTTTAACTTGAATCGAAAGAGAAAGCCTACTTATCTATGAGCTTCTTTTGTAGATGGTGTAATTTTATGAAGCATCTAAGTATATTTTAGTAATTTGTATCGTCGATTAAGAGGGTTGATATCACTCTTAAGGTTATCGGTTCTTGCATATTTCCCACACTTTATGCCTACTCTTTCTTCTTAATGTCATGAATGAATATGTTACTAATTATTAGGAATGAGGAACTAGAAATTTTGTATGAGAAAATTCGTCAGTTGTCACTAAACCTGAATTAATAACTTGCAGATTTGCACTTTAAAAAAGGATTTTGAGCTAGATTTACATGATTTTTAATTCATATATTTCACTTACTCTAGTTTTTTAAAAAGAAATTATTAAGAGGCTTTTGCGCTTTTCTTCACTTTTCACGTACAATAACGACATCGGCAAAAGACCTTTGATAGAAACTAAGAGTCCACCAAACTGTATTCTCTATCAGTTTTCACAGAACACACACACACACAACAGTAAGTAAATGACACAACAGAGTTTTACGTGGAAAACTCTCAGCTCACGGGATTAAAAACCACGACCTACACTCGTAGGATTTCAATTCACTAACTGAGCAAACTTCAGATTACAACCTATTGTAATCTAGGAATTAACCTCTTAATCTCTCACCTACTTATAATAACTCTATTACAAAAGCTCACACTTTGACTAACTCTAGCCAAAACACAAACACAAGGTTTATGGTTTTACAAGCGATCTCCTACAGAATGCTTCTAAATAAGCCCCATGACCCCTTGGACGCGCCCCATGGCGTCCTGGCCAGCCTCCCAACGCCCGTCGCCACGNTGCCAGCGCCCAGCCATAGGCAGATGCCAACAGCGCCGCGCGCGTAGACAATGCCGCGCGCGCAGACCCTGATGCTAAAAACAAAGTTGCTGCCAACAGACTTGTTGCTGCTTTGTAGAAGACTAAGTCCTTTTCATTGTAAATATAGAGTAGTTTTGCTGCATTTTCTTTAAGTGTGATTTTCCAGCTTTCATAGGTCTAGTCATGTAACTTTGGTTTATTTTTTTTAAGCATTATTAAGGGGGACCAAGCAATCAAAACTTTCAAGCAAGCAAACAATTCTCTGTACTGGTGTCTCTCCCCCCGACACCGTCTTGTTTTCTGTAATAGCTTTCATTCAATGCAATCAAGCTTTCTTTCATTCTCAATTCTCTTTTCTGCTCTCTTTCAATTGCTCATGACATTGGTTTTCCCGTACGGCACTGACAATCTAGTCTAGCGTACGGAGGGGACCTCAGTTGGCGGACAGCAACCGTACTGACATCGGTTGCCTAGCCTTACGTCGCCCTTCCAAGGAACTTCAGGAAGGCGCCGCGTAACAGTTGGTATCAGAGCCTAGGCTCGACATCGGACGAGGGATTACATTGCAATTACCATCATTTCTGACCATGGTGAATTATGGGGATCGCATTGCGACCCTCGAGGGAACGGTTGACGCATTACGGCCATCGTGGAAATGGTGCCCGATCTAAAGACCAGCCTAGTGCAAAGGTTGGACGACCTGGATCACAGACTCATCCAGGCCGAAGTTGACATAGAAAACATCAGTCGCGACTCTGAAGGAGACCGGCAAACAGCAGCCACAGAGGCAGCTGAGAGTTTTGGTAAATTTGAGGTCCTCCAGCAGGAGCGTGCAGAGGATTTAGCCAACAGGGAACAAGAGGCAGACAGGGTGACTGCCATGCAACAAACTATAGAT